CTTGGACATGTTTAGTGTTTATCTGTGGCCTTAATACTTAATTGAGTATGTGTTTTGGTATTTTTTATACTTTCTGATTGCTTCCAGGAAGATGTGATCAAGATGTGGGCTTCTCTTTTCTATCTTCTTATTGCTTAACTCAAAGTAACTTTCACAGGTGTCGTCTGTTTCCCTGGTATATGGTAGTTGGTATTGGTTCTTACCTGGGTTTTGGTGATTTATAACGTGTGATTGTAGCTTATCTATATGCAGCAGTTGTTGACTTTGCTTGCAAAATATAGGGAGACAAAGAGTCCTCCAAAGGCAGAAGGGGGGGAGGGCGGCATATAACAGCCAAACCGCACTAGCGGAAAAAAACAAGAGAAAGAAAAAAATAAAAGACTAAAAAATAGCAACAACAAAAACGAGACTGAATACTGCAGTCTCTAATCACAGAAAAGGGAGAGCAGGGAGAGAAGAAAAAGAAGAAAAAAAAATCTGTAGCCTAATATGAGTACAAATTTAATGTCCTCTCTTCAGCTTCTTGCTGTCAAAGGTGCCTGAGAGATAGCAAGATGCCTGTGTTGGTTGTGATGCTATACCTCAGGCTTTAATTTAATTTTTAGCCTGTTTTGTTTTTAAACTCTCTTTCCCTCTCTACAACCCTGTCCTGTCCTTTACCATATTAAAAAACAGAACAAAAAACAAACAAATAAGAAAAGTTCAGGGTTGCTCTATGGCTGAGTATCTGTGTGCATGCGTGGCAGAAGAACCCCACCAGTGGTGAGGGTGAGGGGTGTCCACTTGCTCAGGCACCCCCTCTAGTCACCAGTATGAAGGTGGGCAAACAGTGGACCCGCCAATGACCAGATACCCCCAAAAAAATATTATAAAATCAGAACAAAGCAAAATTGACAAAGTGTATTGTCCACCTTTGCCCCAAGTTTCCCGCGGCATTTTTCCATGTTGTTTCTGCTTCCCCCGCTTGGTCTTGTCATTTGGTCTCGTCCAAGATGTCGACTCCCAGCCTCAGAGCCCGCCCCGGCATATTCAAATGTACGCAATTTTTTACTTCAGCTCCAATTTCCACAAGCTATAAGCCTTCATGCTTTTAAAATATTCCTATCTCTGTGGTTCCGAGTTTTGGAGCTCTGCCCTGCATTTGCTTTGCCTGGTATTCTGTGTTATAGCTGACGGCGAACTTCACTGCACCTCCACCCTAGCTGCCATCAAGCACTGCCTTTGTACATGTACATTTATATTCTTTTTCTTTTCATTAACTTGAGTATGAATAAAACCCTTACTTTTTAGGCAATAGCCTAATAAATTTTTTACCTCTCTGATAAGTTTTCCAAAATTATTCATTCTACTACATTCAAAATTATTCATTCTAGTACTGCTTCCTTGGGGTTATGCTGTAGAATAAGGACTGGACTGCTAATTACAAAGTCAGCTATTGAAACCCACCAGCCCCTCCTCGAAAACATTGTACAGGGTAGCTCAACAGTGCTTTAACAACTGCCTTCTTACAGTATACTACTTACAGTATACATTTATCTTCTAACATAATAGAGAAAATGTTGAGGGATTATTTGCTTCTGAGACTCTATATGCTGTGAACTGTTTGTTAAATCTGGTTTTCCTGTGTAAAACATTTGTCAGGCCCAGAACAAAATTGACAGTTCCTTTATTAATTGTTATTTATTCACATAAGTAGTTTGATGATGGTTCTGAGTTTTATTTATATATGAGGAATGAAGTATTGAAGAGAATGAATTGCTGGTTCAATTTTAAACTAATGTAATTTAACATGGTTGTACTATATTGGAGTCCTGGTATGTCGCTCTGGGTTAATGCACTGGGCTGCAAAGTCTGTTTGAACTGTAAGGTTGGTGGTTCAAGCTCAACCCTATGCAGGGTTGCTATGGGTTGGAACCGACTTGATGGCACTTAACAGTAATAGTAACAGTATTATAATGAAATGGGCACACTGATAAAACTTCATTACAGGGAAAAGTACTAAAAACAACATGGTTTAAATAAAACAGAAAAGCTGTAGAATTCTAATATGCAGTAATATCCTTTTGTTACACATTTTTCATGTAGAATAATATTCACTATAAAAATTTGTTTTGTCATGGCAAATAGTTGAAAACAACCTAAGAAAAGAAAGAAAGAAAGAAGCATTCCCATATCTAGAGTTGTTGTTGTGCGCCGTGGAGTCAGTTCTGACTCACAGTAACCCTGTACAGGGTTTCCGAGGCTGTAAATCTGTATTTGAGCAGAAAGCCTCATCTTTCTCCCATGGAACAGTTGGTAGTTTTGAACTGCTGACCTTGCGGTTCGCAGCCTGATTCATAACCACTACGTTACCAGAGCTCCATGTATCTAGAGTTGAATGGCCTAGTTGGAGTAAAAGCTCAGTAGCTATGAATTACTCAGATTTTGATTTATAAGTATTATTCCCCCACACTAGGACGCTTTAGAAATTGCTGATTCCAACACTGGGGCAGTGTTGCCAGAAAGTAAGGAAGTACTCAAAAACATGTTGGGGACATGTGCAAGGATTTAGGAACTAGCTTGATAAGAGTGTGTAACTCATTGCATATAATCTGTAGTGATAATAGATAAAGGCAAAGGAAATGCCCTTCTTATAGTAGACTGCCAATTAGTAAGTGAAGAAAGAATAATACTATTAGAAAGTGACTATGAAATGCTGCTTTTTTTCCTACTGTAAGGATTTTTCACTTCCTAACAGGGTCGCTATGGGTCGGAACCGACTCGACGGCACTTAACAACAACAACAACAATTTCTCTGCAAGGAGCTCTGGTAGCGTAGTGTTCATGAGTTAGGCTGCTAATCTCAAGGTCAACAGTTCGAAACTACCAGTGGTTCTGCGAGCGAAAGATGAGGCTTTCTGCTTCCATAAAAATTCACAGCCTGGGAAATCCTATGCTGGGTTGCTGTTAGTTAGAACCAACTCCCTGGCACACAATCACCAAGCACCACAATTTCTCTGCATCAGCAGTTCTAGATTCAAAATCCCAACCAGAATCATCTGATCTAGGATCTCAGATTGTATTCCTGCCTCATAGTTTCAGCAAAACTGATCTATTGGGTGAAAGGCAGTCACTCAAAGGACAGGAAACAGTTTCATGTGCTGAGCATACCAAAAGAAAAGAAAACAAAATCCAACTTCTATACAACAGAGTGTCAGAAAATCACAAATGAATAAGCTAGAAAGTGGAAGTAATACTTTATTTTCTGACAGTGTTTCTTTCTGTTGGAACCAATTCAATGGCACCTAAGGTGGACTGTCATAGTTTAGTTTTGGTGGTGGAACCTCATTTGGAACAAATTCAAACACTTGAATTTTATTCCTAACTTCTGACAGTCTGGTGCTATGTGATCAGCATCTCATACCTAGCTTTTGGGAGATTTTATGTTTTTCTTAAACTAATGTTGTGAACTCATCCATCATCTGTTAGCAAGTATTTGTGATTTATATGCAGAGAGCACTGTCTAGATAAAAAGGTGGCTGCTCTCAGTGTATTGTAAAAGACTCTTTATATGATGCCCTTTTGTTCAGAATTTAAATCCCCATGGTGATCATGGGGGACAAAATAATTTCATAGCATGTGGTAGTAAGGTTGATATAATGTCAGGTTTTTTAGTAAAGATTTTTAGTCATGAATCGAATGGTCTCTTTCAATTGAATTCTCAGCTCAATCCATTATATAGATTAATTTTTAAGTCGCTTTCTTTTGTTTTTGTTTTCAGTTTAATTCAGTTTTTTAATAAAATGAAGAAGTGGATGGACATGTCAAACCTGCCACAAGAATTTCGTGAGCGTATAGAAAGGCTTGAGAGAAATTTTGAGGTCTCTACTGTAATTTTCAAAAAATTTGAGCCAATTTTTATAGATTTATTTCAGAATCCTTATGAAGAGCTACCAAAGTTACCTCGAAGCAGGAAGCAGAGGTGAGACCCTTAATCCATATATAGTTTCATTCTGATTATGATACAGATGCATTAGAGTTTGCTTTTTTAAAAGTCTTCTTTATACCTTCTGCAAAGAACTTCTGCAAAGAACTTGATATATATTTATATATATGGATTTTTAAAAATCTATGTACCTGACAATCTAGGGTAATACCTATTTTTCTGTGTTCTGATTATTTTATACAGATTGGAAAGGCTCATTCGAGTCTAATTGTTCAGCCATATTTTGTCTGTCCTTAGTGAATAGACCTTTATGTGTAATTTGATTTTAGTAATTATATATATTTGTAATTTCAATTAAAAAAAGCTGTGCGATCATATTTAGCAAGCTAGTAAGAAAGGCGAAGTGTATGTTTTTTTGTTCCCTTTTCAGAAAGATTCCTTGCAGTGTTAAGGATCTCTTTAATTTCTGCTGGACACTCTTTGTTTACACTAAAGGTAAGCTGACACTTTCATTGGATTTAGATTTCTACTGTGTAAGCTTGTGCTATTTGACATGAGTGAGATTTGTTTTTTGTGTTCTTTTGTTTTTTGTCTGTATAAAGGGAACTTTCGTATGATTGGTGATGATTTAGTAAACTCTTACCATTTACTTTTGTGCTGCTTGGACCTGATTTTTGCTAATGCTATTATATGCCCAAATAGACGAGACTTGCTAAATCCATCATTTAAAGGTATGATCATGTTTATTCTTGAAAACAGAATCAGGTTTTGGGAACAAGAATTTTAAAATTAAGTCATGCTCTTTATTTATACTCTGTGAAACTAGGTTTACCACCTGATTTCCATACTACTGACTTTAGGGCTTCCGAAGAGCCTCCCTGCATCATTGCTGAACTGTGTGAGCTGCATGACGGACTTCTGGTAGAAGCAAAAGGAATAAAGGAGCACTACTTTAAGCCATACATTTCCAAACTCTTTGATAGGAAGGTACTGTCCATTTAATGAAATGACTCAGATGTTTAGAGGTCAGCAGCAGATTCAAAGTAAAAAACAGTGTTTTAAGCAAGTTACCAATATTATTGTAGTCAGGGACATGTAGTCCTGGCTGTGAGGCAGGTGTGTCCTATGATCTTCTGTGATGTGATTAACTAAGCTTAAGCTAAACTTGGAGTCCTGGTGTTGCCCTGAAGGATAAGGGACTTCTTGAACTACAAGATCGGCAGTTCAAGCCCACCAGCCACTCCTTGGGAACCCTATATAGGATCGCTGAGTCGGAACTGACTCGACGGCACTTAACAACAACAAGCTAACCTTACTGAAAAGTATTGAAGAATGTGACCATGTCTGTGCACTATCGGGAAATTGCAGGTGGTACTAATGAAGAATTAGAGAGAACAGAATATCAGAGTTAGTGTAATGAAGAATTATGAAAAACAGGATGTCAGATTAAGTTTATTGTAACTACTGAAACAAATTGAATTAAGTCCTGACTCTTTTCCTAAAAGTAGGATGACATATAACAGATGTACCTTTAATTTCATAGAAAATCCACTATAGTTTGTAGCTACCTACAGGCCACCTACTTGCATTCTGGATATTTTTTCCTTAATGAGCTTAGTTATTTCTGTATTTATGGATTGACATATTCATTTGGGTCTTGATCTCTGATCTCCCCAATTTTGAGCCATTTCATCCAGCTAGGCCATGAGTCTTTTCTTTGGTAAAAGGAGGGATTTAGAGGTCATATCTGTGGACCCTGTTGCTAGAATGTTACAAGGTTTTTCTTTTAAGCATGAATTCCTTCACCAACTGGCTTCTTCTCTTATGTAAACTTTTCTGTTTAGTCCCACCTTTCCTCAAACATGACTCTTTATGTGTATGGTGAACATCTCCAGCATACTAGACTTTTAAAGGACTTTAGGGATTGATTATGTGTATTATACTCTACAGAAGTAGCACACTAGTGACACCTGGGTATTGTGACTGTACATACCAATTTACCTGGATTACATATCTGTTTTTTGCTTGGTGTCTTGGCATAATTACTAGTACCTCCTTTTATTCCCAAAAGTATCCTGGTTTAGAAAGTGGTCCTCCTGCCCCTCAAGCACAGATGTTTTGTTTGACTTACCTAGGATATTTATTTTTATTTTGTTCATTTAAAAAATTAAAATATCAGGCTCTAGTATGTAAAAGTCTTTTAAAAAATAGAAGGTATAGAAATCTATAGATTTCTACATGGGTAACTGTTAGCAAGCTAAATTATCGTCTCCTCTTTTAGGATGGGAAGTGTATTTTCTGCCTTCTTCATTTATATGTGTTGGCTACTAGCCCCTGAAAATCCATGATGTATAGCAATCTCAGTACACTGTGGTAAAATAGCAAATCCTGATAGAGTATAGTTTTTCTCTTACCAAAAAGAGTAGCTATATTCTTTTTGAATCCTTTGCTTTTCTGACACATAGTAATAATTTAAGAATGTTAGTTTTCCCCCTTCCTAGATCATTGTTTAAAAATTAACAACTTGTTCAAAAGTGTGGCCTCAACTCAGAACTATTGACTCAATCATTGGTGGTTAGGTCCATAATTCTGCTTTTTTAACAGATTCCCTAAGTGATTCTTCTTGCTAAGTGCCATCTAGTCTATTCTGGCTCATAGGAGCCCTGTACAGGCTTCTGAGGAGCAGCTGGTGGGTTTGGACTGCTGTTCTTGTGTTTCTCAGTTCAGTATTTATCCTGTAGTTCCACACCAGGAGTCCATAAGTGATTCTTACGTCACTAAAATTTGAAAACCACTGATATAGACTAACCTCAGTTCTCAAAATTTGACTTTACATATTTTTTAATGTTTTATTTACATGCAGGTTTTACTAATTTGAAAGAACTATTTAGCCGTTCTGTTTCATGTGTGTTTGTGTGTGTGCACACATACATGGTATACTATAGCACTTCCAGTGTAAGAATTTAGATACATTTTATGAGTTACTGTGCTTAATTATACTATATGATGCCCTAAAATGACTTTTCCCCCCAGATCTTAAAAGGGGAATGCCTCCTGGATCTTTCCAGTTTTACTGATAATAGGTAAGTGTCTAGCACTTATGGTGTTTGTTATATTTTTTAGAGGCTGTCAATAATGACTTGTTTAATGTGCTGTGTGAAACATTGTATCAGGAAAATCATCCACATTCAAATTTCCTCTGCTTTTGTGGCATTGATAACTCAATAACTTGAGTCTTTTACTAAGTGTTATTGAATCTAACTAAGTACATTTAAAACTAGTACTCTCCTGAGAAACTCATACACCTACTTCGTGACTTCTGCATTCATTTCCCATTCTTTTGTTAATCATATGTTGGCCAATTCAGATTGCACATATTTCAAAGCCACCATTGTTTCCTCAATGATCAGATACACTTCTCTTCTGCATAATTAGCTTTAACTAATTTTCATGTATCTGTTCTTTTTCTTTTCACAGTAATTTATTGTTATGTATATGAATATTAGAAATGACGATAATCAAACAGGAACCTGTGATATTATCAGAGGGGAAGAATTAGTAAAAACTAGAAGGAACTAGTCAATTTTCCAAAACTTTAGATTATAAATCTATCTTCAAGTCAAGATAAATCCATTGTGTAACTTACTTTTATCCTAGCATCTTAAAATAATTCTCTTTGCAGCAAAGCAGTGAACAAGGAGTATGAAGAATATGTTCTAACTGTTGGTGATTTTGATGAGAGAATCTTTTTGGGAGCAGATGCAGAAGAAGAAATTGGAACTCCTCGAAAGTTCACTGCTGACAATCCGTTAGGGAAATTGACAGCTCGGGCTAATGTGGAGTGCAATCTTCAACAGCACTTTGAAAAAGTAATATAACCTAGCCTGGCTTCAGTCTTTAAACATCTTTCTCTCTCTCTGTGATTTTACTAACAGCAGAAGCATCTTTCAAGTTAAATCTTGAGTTTCTTTATTAATTCATATTTCCCACTGAAGCTTTAAAAGGTAATTTAAAAATATGACATTTAATATTTTTACTAGCTTCTTGCTATAGTCATCTCTTTGATGCATTTTCTCAAATATGCCTGAGTTGTTCAATGATTATGGGTATTTTGACATAAAGAAAAATTTATGCGTTTCTTGTCATTCTTTCATTTGATCAACTTAGCCTCTGATGTTTTACTTTAAAATTTAGTTTGCTTTCCTATACATGTTACTACATATATGGCCTCGCTTAACCTCAGCCTTATAATGCTGGACGTAATTGTCAATGGCCAAGGCTTAATTTTTTATTTATGAATTGAGTTGGAAGATGAGATCTAATAGAAAATTCACTGGTCTAGAAGATGGAAAATATAAGTTTTAAGCTCTGTCATTAACTTTGTCAGGGTAAACAAGTTTCTTAATTAATCTGTGCCTGTTTCCTCACATGTAAAATGAAAATATGTATTCCTTATGGGCTAATGTGTGGACTGCAAGGTCAGTTTGAACTGCCAGGTTGGCATTACAAACTTACCAGCTGCTCCTTGGAAACGCTATATACGGTTGTTGAGTCGGAACTGACTCAACGGCACTTAACAACAACAACAACATATTTTAAAGAAGCGTTGTGAAACAGATTATAGGTAGACAGTGTTTTGGAAAGGTAAATGTTACTAGTGGTTATGAGTCTGATTGCTAATTTCAAGATCAGCAGTTTGAAACTACTAGCAGTTCTGTGGGAGAAAGATGAGGCTTTCTGTTCCTGTAAAGATTTACAGCATCGGAAACCCTGTACAGGGTTGCTGTGAGTTGGAATCAACTCCACAGCATACCACCACCACCATTTAAATGGAAGAATGTCATTGGCATACTATTGCTAAATATTTGTTGGATAGCCAGAAGAGAGGAAAATATGTTACTAAATATGAATGAAAAAATATGTAATATATGCTGAATTAAACATAATGAATGGAAAGGTAGCTATTAATCTCACAGGTTTTTCTTTTCTGACAGAGAAGAACATTTGCACCTTCTACCCCACTAACAGGACGGCGATATTTACGAGAAAAAGAAGCAATCATTACTCCTGTTGCTTCAGCAACTCAAAGTGTGAGCAGGTTGCAGGGTATTGTGACTGGACTGAAAAATGCTCCAAGCCAGCAGCTTATACACATTTTTGAGTAAGAACGATACTGTGTTTTGTTATGTTTTTCAATTTTCCTGTCTCTTTTAAATTAGATTCTATGTTTCATTCTAAGTATTTTCAAAATTCTTGAGATGGTGAATATGTCTGGCAAGTTTTACAGTAACATTTTAGTCATAAAGTGTGTTGACCTAAAATAAGCCAGAAGGTCCTATTAAAGGTATGTATAAGCTGAAGTTAGGAAATCAAAAGGGAAGAAAATGCTCAGCTTTTCTCAAGCTGAGGGAATTGAAGAAAAAACTCAAGCCTTGATTTGAAATATTAAAGGATTCTATGGGCAATATATTGAATGATTTAGAAAGCATCAAAAGAAGATGGAAGAAATACACAGAGTCACTGTACCAGAAAGATATGGTCAGTGTTTAACCATTTGAGAGGTAGCATATGATCAAGAACCAATGATACTGAGGGAAGAAGTCCAAGGTGCATTGACGGCATTGGCAAAAAACAAGGCTTTGGTAATCGATAGAATGTAAATGGAAATTTTTCAACAAACTGATGCAATTTGGAGGTGCACACTCATCTATGCCAAGAAATTTGGATGACAGCTACCTGGCTAACTGACTGAGAGATCCTTGTTTGTGCACAATCCAAGGAACAGTAACCCAATAAAATGCAGAAATCACCAGACAATATCATTAATATTGTGTGGAAGTAAAATTTTGCTAAAGATAATACAAAACGTCTAGAACATTGACAGAACTTTGAAAGGTTCAAGCTGGATTTAGACGATTAGGTAGAATGAGGGATATCATTGCTAATGTCAGATGGATCTTGGCTGAAAGCAGAGAATACCAGAAAGATGTTTACTTCTGCTTTTTTGTTTATGCAAAGGTTTTTCGATTGTGTGGATCATGCCAAGCTATGGACAGTATTGTGGGGAATGAGTATTCTGGAACGCTTAATTGTGTTCATGAGAGACCT